ATATCACACTACTATTCTTACAAACCAACTTACAGGGGTCCTCTCGGTGTGGCTCAGTGGTTGAGCACTGGGTTGAGAAGCTGCCCACAGCCTCTGCAGTGCCAGTTTTGTTCCCTGGCCGCCGGGCGAGGGTCCCACATGCGGCGCAGACCTCTCCTGCCGCCGCGCTGCTCCCTTCAGCAGTGTTTCTCGTCAGTCTGCCTGTTCTGCTCTCTGCTCTGGCTCTGGTGAATTCTCTCACCCTCCTGTACTTCTGACTATACCCAGTGCTTATATTAAATAAATAATATAAATAAATCTTAAAAAAAAAAAAAAAAAAGGCAAAAAACCAACTTACAATGACTGTGATTGTTTCAAACTTAAAAATTACTTAAGCATAGCATATTTCTCCTGTTTCAAGTCTATTCATATTTCTTGTTAAAGTTCTCATTTCTAAGGTATTTTTATGATTTGTATTACTATTGTGAATGGCACACTGTATTTATTTTCCATCTAGCCATCTTTCCACTGTTTCTAATAGCTTTCAAGTTTGATTATTTTGCCTTTCTCAGGTTAAAAATGGTAAATTTGGGCCTCCCGGTGGCGCAGCGGTTGAGCGCTGGGTTGCGAAGCTGCCCGCGGCCTCTGCAGCGCCGTTCGATCCCCGGCTGCTCTCCCGCGCACCGGAGGAGGGTCCCACATGGCGCAGACCTCTCCTGCCGCCCGCTGCTCCCTCAGCAGTGTACTTCGCTTCTGCCTGCTCTACTCCCTGCTCTGGCTCTGGTGAATTCTCGTCACCCTCCCGCGCTTCTGACTGTACCCAGTGCATGTATAAACAAGCAAATAGACAAACAAATAATAATACTAAACAAAAAAAAAAAATGGTAAATTTGTCCTTCTTTACATAAAAAAGCTAAAGGAAATGTGTCTGACAAACAGGGTGCCTAATTATATTAATAATTATTCTCTAATATCTATGCCTTTTATTCTCTTAGTTAATTGTACTGATTAGTTCCAGCATAAAATGGTGGTGACAGTCTTATATTTGACTTAATGGGAATGCTTTTATATATTGGTATCAGTATTAATTGGCTTTATACAAATACATGCAAACCTTTTCTTTCTTTTCTATGCCCTGGAGTATTTCAGATGGCATAGACAAACTTTATTCCCTAAAGGGTTGAAAGAATTGCTCATAACTGGGCATGCTCCTTCTGAGGAGTAGTTTTATTTACATTTTCTCAAATTTTTTCCCTGTGGTTTTCAGTCTATGTATTTCTTACTTTTTCAGAAGTCAAAACTTGTCATGTATATGTAAAATCTGTTCATTATCCTATCTTTTCTGATATTTTCTCTCTACTAAGTAACAGGAAACGATGCATTCACTTACAGTGGGGTCGGTCCAAGAGAGAGCATCTTGAGCACTCCTGGCAAGGGGCTCCTGGAGAGCGAGGGTGCTGGCAAAAATGGTCATACCCATTGATACACTCGGCGCAGAGGTAGCACATTTGGGCACCACAGCGGCAGGACATTCGATTGCAGCCTTCAGATTTGATGAGGCCAGTCCCACACTTGTGGCATTTCTAATACGGGCAGCAGTCATTTTTTCCTCACTGAAAAAAAGAAAATGTAATTAGAGATGGCCTGGAAGCTGAGCAGGAAAGCAAAATGTTACGGCATCAAGTACTTTTTTCTTCCATCTATGATGTTTTAAAGAGTAAAGAGGAGTCTGTATTTTGGAGTCTGATAACTGGGTTCAGTTTATCAGTTAGATAATTTACTCAACTGCTTGGAGACAGTTTCCTTAGTTTTAAATTGAGTAAACCCATTTAATTTGTTTTGAGGATCATAGACCTAAAGCACTCTGGTACAATGTGCAATAACTAGCATCAGTACATGATTGTTATATTTGTTATAAGAGGGCCTGTAGTTTACAAAGAAAAAAAAACTCAGTCTTACTGAATAATGTGCTTTGTATATACAAGTGGGATAATGGCTAGCTGGTTAAGCCTAAACCTTACTTTCATACACACCTTAGACTTTAAATACTTGGCATGGGGGTGGACAGGCATGGCTGGATAATCTAATAGTCAGTCTATGACTTCTGCTGGCAGAGCCCATGCATGGCCCGTGACAGTAGTTGGCAGAGTCCACTTCCATGTTAGAATCCCACATTCTAGACTCCCCTATAGCTAGGGAGCAGGCATGCATATGACTCAATCCTGACAATGGAAGCTCCTGCGAGGTTACTTGTTTTTAGAAAGATCTTAACTGAGAGGGAGGGGCAGATGACTACAGTTCAAACGACAGGTTTGGCTCTTTGTTAAGAGTTGGCAATCGACGAATTAGTTGCTTATTTGGTGCTCTGTTCATGAGTCTAAACTTAACACTTGTCGCCTTGGCCTATAATTGTCTATGTATCTGTCTTCATTTACCAATTTGAGTTCCTTGAAGGCAGAGGGCAGAGGCTGTGCTGCCACTCAGCTGGCATGAAGGGAAGGAGTCAAAAGATATGACTATAGAGACTAAGGGAGAATATGAAGGACTCACAGGGCAGACAGCCCTGAAACTGGACTGATACCATTACTCTGAGCACCTTTCTTCCCTTCCATGCAGGAACTCAAAGTGGTGACCAGGGAAATGCTTCACTGCAAAGACTGTCATAGTCTGGGGGCAAGTTCTTTGCAGACTTCTCCGAAGACTGAGAAAACACAGCCTCCTTCCTTCCACTGTTTCTAGTTTTTTAGCTAAGAGCAGCCAGGTGAGTCTGGGGAAGGCAAGTGTTTTTATTACCGATATTTAGGGCTGCTGTAGTAGATCCTTAGCAGCCAGATTATGTGTTTTAAAAACAGAAAAAAAAAAAAAATTGGTTGCTATTCACTAAGTCTACTTTTTTTTTTTTTTTTTTAAAGATTTATTTATTTATTTATACAAGCACTGGGTACAGTCAGAAGCACAGGAGGGTGAGAGAATTCACCAGAGCCAGAGCAGGGAACAGAACAGGCAGACTGACGATGCACTGCTGAGGGGAGCAGCGGGTGGCAGGAGAGGTCTGCGCACCATTTGGGACCCTCGCCAGTGGCTGGGGATGGAACTTGCGCTGCAGAGGCTGCGGGCAGCTTCACAGCCCAGCGCTCAACCGCTGCACCACCAGGGGAGGCCCTCAGGCCCTCACTAAGTCTACTTTTTGAATGGCCTCATGTGAGGCAGTTTCAAGTTACAAAAGAACAAATGAATTCTAAGTTTTGCTGAACAGAAACATTGTCCAGGAGACAGAGTTTAAATAAAGTGAATTTATTGTCAACTTAATAATATAGCACATGGCCCCATGCTAAGAACTGAAGGTTTTGCTCCTGTTATTGAACTTTAGGGGCAAATACCTAAGGCCTGCTGGGAACATAACATCTAAAATGTGGCTGGGGGCCTCCCTGATGGCGCAGCGGGTTGAGGTCTGTGCCATGAAGCTGTCCGCAGCACTCTGAAGCGCAGGTTTGACCCCGGCCAGTGAGAATCCACATGGTGGCGGCAGACCTCTCCTGTCGCGCCCACTGCTCCCCTCAGCAGAGTATTTCTGTCGTCTGCCTGTTCTGCTCCCTGCTCTGTCTCTGGTGAATCCTCTCCCCCTCCTGCGCTTCTGGCCTTTACCCCAGCTCTTGTATAAAAATAATAAATCTTAAAAAAAAAAAAAAAAGTGGCTGGGGGCCTCCCCGTTGGCACAGCAGGTTGAGTGCAGTGCTGTGAAGCTGTCCACAGACTCTGCAGTGTGGGTTTGATTCCCAGCCAGCCAGTGAGATACCCACATGGTGCGGCAGACCTCTCCTGTCTCGCCCGCTGCACTACCCCTACAGTGTATTTCAGCTCTGCCTTATGCTCCCACTCTCGTCTGGTGAATCCTCTCACCCTTCCATGCCTCTGGCCTGTACCCCAGTTCTTGTATAAATAAAAATAAATCTTAAAAAAAAAAAGTGGTTGGCGCAGCAGGTTGAGCACCACACTGTGAAGCAGTCTGCACCTCTACAGTGCAGGTTCAATTCCTGGCCGGCCAGGGAGAAACCCACATGGCACGGCAGACCTTTCCTGCCTTGCTGCTGCTTCCCCTCAGCAGTGTCTTCCGTCCGTCTGCCTGTTCTGTTCCCCGTTCTGTCTCTGGTGAAGTCTCTCATCCTCCTCCTGTGCCTGACTGTACCCCAGTTCTTGTATAAATAAATAAATCTTTAAAAAAAAAATAAAATGTGGCTGGAAGGCTGTGGTACAAGTTCATTTCTGCTGGCAATTAGCGGGATCTCTACAACCAAAAGGAGCACATAGTTCTTTTTAAAACTGGAGGTGTTTATGCTCTAGATGAAACTGAATTCCATCTAGCCGAGAGATGTGCTTATATGTGCAGAGCAAAGAACAACATCGTGACTCCTAGTGGCAAACCAAATAAAACCAGTAATCTGGGGGAAGGTAAACCACGCCTATAGAAACAGTGGTATGGCTGGTGCAAAATTCTGAAGCAAGCTTTCTGCTAAGGCCACTGGACACAGCAATTGTGTGATACTTTCCCCTCAAGGATTTAAACTTATTGAAAAGCAAATAAAAATTGATAAAAAAAAGAACCAAGGTTCTGATAAAAGTCTCCAATATAAAATGCCATGACCAAAACACAGCAATTTTCTACAGCACAAATTTCTTTGTAAGAGCACCCGAACTGAAGTCTGCCTTTAAGACATTGCACTTTGGTTGCTCGAGGTGCCTTATTCCCTGGGTAATGTGATTAGGACACAACATGTGAAAGAAGTGGTAAAACCCAAAGAAAACAAATTAACACCCCCACCAGTCCCCGCCAAAGGTCCAGTCTACACAGCACTTTCCTCAAGGATTGGCAAGAGGGGCATTTGCTTCCCCTTCTACCAAGCTGTCAGTTGCCACTGTGAAATATAATAACAACAGGTTGAGAAGGGAGAAAGGCACTCCCCCAAATGGATGAAGGAACATATAAAATGTACAACTCAACAGTGCTATAATTCAAATAGTTATTCAATATTGTATGAATATCTATTCAAATCCTCTGCTTTTGCATTCATAAGAACCATGTTAGACAGGGCCAGAATGGGCCTGTACCAAAAAAAAGGAATTTCTATCATGGGGTGTGGTAATCATTGATACAGTAACACGAAAGTGCAAAATAGGACTGAAGAGAAATCACAGTTGATTCTTTTGGGAGGCGGGTGATTTGACAACTAGATTCTAGACTAGGCAGGAAACAAATAGCCCCACAGGATGTATTCCTCTGCAGGACAGGAAGAGAAGCCTGAGTTGCAGCTGTGTCTGCTGACCTCATGCTCAAACAGGAATGTTCACTGCCCTCCTCTATATGACCAATCAATATCCAATGATTTCATTATTCTTATCACTACCTAAGTATGTTGGAAAAGTCTCTTTGAGAGCTGTCTTCATTTTTTTTTTTGGTATACACTATTTAAAATCTTAAATGGCTTTCATTTTTGAGTGTGTGTACATATTTATTGTGGTAGAATACACATAAAATGCACCGTCTGGGGTATGTATAATCACAGTGTTGTGTTAACTATTACCTATACCTAGTTTCAGAACATTTTCATCACTCCAAAAGGAGATTCCATACCTATTAAGCAATCACTCCATTTCTACTTTCCCCTATAACTGCTAATCTGCTTTTGGCCTTTAACAGATTTTCTATTTATGCATAGGCAAATATCCACATCCCTAAGGATAGTTATATGAAACTAAGATTGGCTTTTTAATTAATTTATTTTTATTTTTAAAGATTTATTTATTGATGCTTACAAGAAGTGCGGTACAGGCCAGAGGTGTGGGAGGTGAGAGGATTCACCAGAGACAGAGGGGGAACAGAACAGGCAGAATGATGGAAATACACTCCTGAGGGGAGCAGCGGGCGAGACAGGAGAGGTCTGCCACGCCATGTGGGTTGCTCCATGGCCGGTGAGGAATGAACTGCACTGCAGATGCTGCGGGCAGCTTCACAGTGCTGGGCTCAACCGTCTGTGCCACCAGGGAGGCCCAAGATTGGCCTTTTGTGACTAGCTTTGTTCACTTAGCATACCTTCAAGGCTGATCCATGTTGCAGCATATAGCAGCACTTCATTCCCTTCTTATGGTCGAATAATATTCCATTTAATGGCTGTAGTGCACTTCATTTACCATTCATAAGTTGACAGACGTTTGGGTAGTTTTCACCTTTTGGTTGCTGTGAATAGTGCTGCTATGAGCCTTCTTGTATATGTATTTGTTGTAACACCTGCTTCATCTCCTACCACTTATATTTTATGATTCAGCAACAGCAAAACTGTGTGCACCTAGTTTTTCTTATTTTTAACACTGAGCCGCTGGCAGGATTCTTTGGCTCTGTGGTCCATGGAGATAGGGCTAGTTGGTAGAGAAAGGAAGTGGAAACCCCTGGAATACCCCTCCTTACAGAAAGTAATACCAGATTCTTGTGGGCACCAGTGAAGACTTCAAAGATGCAGGGGAGTTGATTTACAACACAACTCCTTTACTTCTAATTGGCCTGTACAGAAGAATGTGTCCTGGAGAACAGCGTATTACTGTAAACCTAATCAGGTGCTGA